GGGCACTGCTGGTGCGGAACGGGAGCTTACTGGACCGGGAGACTCGTTCCATCTACTATGCAAACCTCCAGGCGAAGGATGGGGGCAACCTGGTGGGCACCACGGTGCTGGAGATCACCGTGCTGGATGACAATGACAATCCACCCATAGTTATTGGCTCCTACTTCATCTCCGTGGAAGAGGGACTGAACATCAGTACACAGATCCAGGTACGCACAGACAGAGGTGACAGGCGGCTGTTGGAGGTGAGCAGGGACTGTCCCCAAGGTGCCAACAGCCATGTTCCAACTGCTGACCTTTTCAGGCCATTGACAACGACGAGCCTGGCAACCCCAACAGCGAAGTGGGCTTCAAGATCTTGCCAGGACCATTCAGCAACAACTTCACCATAGATGCAGCCACAGGTGAGATGCACAGCAAGGAGCCGCTGGACCGTGAGGCCTTGGAAGATGAGCGGGGGCAGATGGTGGTGACGGTGGAGGTGTATGACCATGGTGTGCCGCAGCTCAGCACCTTGGTGAATGTCACCATCACAGTGGGGGTGAGTCCTGGGCACAAGTGGGGACACACGGGGGCAGGCCAGGGCCTGGAGCTGGGATGGATGGGCAGAGAGGGGATGTGAGATCCCTGGCCATGGCAGAGGCACTGTGTCCCCTCTCTGTGGAGGAGGAGGGAATAGTTGATGCAGGGAGGCAGGAGAGCACAAATGTCCCTGCTCCTGTCCCCAGCCTGCTACGGGGGATCCCGTTTCCTGGAGCAGCTACAACCATGGCTTTGTCTCCTGCAGGATGTGAACGACAATGCTCCCGTGTTCCTCAACCAGTCCTATGAGTTCGCAGTGTTTGAAGACTCTCCAGGTAGAAGTTGTGTGGCCAGGATTGTGGGACCAGTGGTGGCCCAGAATGTGTGCCTGCTGGCCACTGAGTGTCTGTCTCCACCTGCAGGGGCCCTAGTGGGTGAGGTGGAGGCCACAGACGCTGACCGGACAGAGATCAATTCCCGCATCTCCTTCCTGCTTGAGAGGAGCAGTGGCTCTAGCAACTTCTTGATCCGCTCATCCCGCCTGAAAGCAGGGCACTATGTCGGGCAGCTGACTGTAGACCCCGACATGTCCCTGGACTACGACACCCTGCAGGAGAAGTTCTTCTCCTTGGTGGTGGTGGCGGAGAACACGGCCGCGTACGACGTGGGGGACAATGCCAGCGTCCCAGTGGTGGTCCACATCCTAGACGTCAATGATGAGCCCCCCACCATCCAGCAGGTCTCGCAGGACATTCACGTGAGCGAGAACGGCACGCAGGAGGGGCTGGTGGTCACACTGGTCGCCTCTGACCCAGACACCAATCACTCACTGGTCTTTGAGGAGCTGGCAGTCGCCTGCTACAAGGATGGGAGCAGCACCGGGGATGTGTGCTGGGACTGGTTCCTGCTGGCACCCAACGGCTCCGTGCTGGTGAACAGCTCCGACATTGACTACGAGCTGTGTGACACAGTGGTGCTCACGCTGCGGGTTGAAGACCTCTACACTGAGAAGGGCAACCGCTACAGCCAGAACGGTAACGGCACCCACTGCCCACTCCTTCCAGCACCACTGAGCGTGGTGGGTGCTGGGACCTGCCTCTCCCACCTCCTAAGTGTGAGGAGCAGGGTGGGAGCTACGTGGTTTGGCAATGGAGAGAGGGTGTCCCCAGCTCTTTTGGACTGGAGCCTGCTGGGAGGATGGGGCTGTCACAGAAGCAGAGGAGGGTGCTGCAGGGCTGCTCTGTTGGTGACCAGAGTTCTGCTTTTGGGATATTGCAGAAACCCTGAGAATCCTCATCACTGATGTGAATGACAACGCACCAGTCTTCCTGCCTGTCACAGAGACCTTTGGTGAGCAGCTGGGGTTAGTGCATCCTGTGGTCTCCTCCCTGCACCCACACATGCTCTGACACACTGCCCAGCAGCAGGGACCTTCTCCCAGTAGGGAGGCAGGGCTGAGAGAGGTGCAGGGGTTATTCAATGCTTTCCATGAAGGCTGCGGGGCTTAGGGCAGCAGGGGTATGCTCAAAGCTCTGCTGAGCCCTGGGGCTGTGGGGCATGGGGTCTGCAGCAAGCCTGGCTGCACACCAGGGTGAACACACCATCTGTCTGCTTTCCTTGGCAGTGGTTGTCCCTGAAATCTCCCCAGTGGACCTGCAAGTGGCTGTTGTGAAGGTGAGGATCTGTGTGTGTCTGCTGGGCTCACCCATCCCCACTGCAGGCAGGTGCTGGCCATTCCTATCTGGGCTTCTGCCACGCTTTGTCCCTGCAGGCCACAGATGCTGACTCAGGGCAGGGGGGAACCATCAGCTTCTCCATCATCAGTGTGGTGCTTGTGGAGGACAACGGGGTCAGCCGGCCCTTTGAGAACCTCTTCAAGCTGGTGACAACGACTGAGAAGGACATCTACATTGGGAGCATCCAGTGAGGCCATGGGGCGGGGCTGGGCTGGGCTGGGGAGGGTGCAGCAAAGCAGAGGTGCAGGCAGTGCCATTGCAGGCTGGAGAGGGGACAAAGCCATCCTGGGGTCCTGCCCTGGGTAGGGTGGAGCCTGGGGGATGACGGGGACATCCTGGGGGCATCCTGTGCAGCCCAGTGTGATTGTCGATGTCCCTGTTCCCACAGGGTGGCCAGCAACCTTGATGGCTCGCTGAAGGGGCAGTACCAGGTGACAGTGGAGGCTCAGGACAATGAGGCACCAGTGCACAGAGTACAGACTGTGCTGACTGTGAGTGTCACCCCTGATCTCCCTCTCTGGGGACACCCCGCACCCTGCCCAGCCACACTCACCCCTGTGCTCCATGTGCAGATCTTCACGGTGGATCAGAGCTACCGCATTCGCCTCCAGTTTGTGACAACGGTGGATGAAGTCCAGAGTAACATCCAAAGCATCAGAGCGTAAGGAGAGCGAGGACAGGCTGGGGAGGTTGGGGTGGTGGCTGTGCAGTGGGGGACACGAACATGCAGGCTGTCCCCACTGGAGCGGGATGCTGAGCTGCTTCCCGTGCCCATGAGTGGAGCAGGAAGCTCAGCCCAGCCTCCCTCCACCCCTGCTGTCCCTAGGGCCCTGACCGCCGTGACCAAGGCAGGAGTGTACGTGGCAGCAATCAAGAGCATGGAGGAAACCCGCGCCTCCCAGTGAGTGGAGCCCTGCAGGCAACGGGGAAGGGGACAGGGGGATCGGGGGTGTCACCCTGCGTCCCGCTTACCCCATCTCTTTGCTCCTGCAGGGTGGTAGCCAAGTCAGTGATGGAGGCGTACTTCGTCTACAGCAATGGCACTGCCCTGGACGTCAACCAGCTGAGCATGTGTGTGCCGGGGCAAGGGCCACGCACGGGCACTGCTGCGCACCCTGACTAGCCCATCCACTCCTATCTCCTCTTTCCTTGGCAGGCTCATACAGTCTGATCCACTGATCCTGGCTGAGCTGGTCAGCCTGGGCCTGGCCATCATCGTGAGTGGGGCTGGGCGAGGGGCACAGGGAGAGGGCACCAACCCCTCATGAGGATGGGGGCTGGTTCTGCTGGCCAGGGCTGTGCCCTCACCCCTGCTCTGCACCAGGGCCCCGGGGAGGTGGTGAATCCCACCAGGGAGACAGAGCTGATCGGCATCATCGCAGGGCTGGCAGCATTCCTGCTCATCTTCATCCTCATCATGACCCTGGCCTTGGTTCTCACCTCTAGGAGGTACCGCACCACCTGCACCCCCTCCTGCCTCCCCTCACCACTCTCATCCTCACCAGCACCCCCAGACTCATCCCTGCCCTCCATCCCCCTCCTGCCCACCCCATCCCAGTGCCCAGCTACCCCTGCCCCTCTCACCCGCCCTGTCCCTGGATTTGCAGCTACAAGAGGAAGCTGCATGCAATGAAGGCTCTGAAGGCAGCCACAACGTTCAGCCCTGCCATGGTGCAGCAGGGTCCTGGCATCCCTGGGACCAACCAGTACAATGCAGAGGGGTGAGTGTGGAGCTCCTCTGGCAGGAGAGGAGAGCCCAGGCATTTCCCCACAGCCAGGGGCTGCAGGGCTCACTGCACACCCCTCCTGCCCTGGGGACACAGCTGTCCCGGGCTGCCCCATGGGACGGTCACTCACCTGCCACCTATCCCTGGCCAGGGCAAACCCCATGCTGAACCTCTCACTCGATCCCTCACATGACTTGGGCTTCCACGAGGACTCCAGCTCTGTGGCCAGGTGAGCTCTGCAGGCAGGTCCCAAAGGCCACGGGGCCATCACCCTGTGTCCCCACCCCACCAGTGCCTGTGCCCTCTGCTAACGCCCACCCTCCACTCTCCACAGCATGAATTCCCTGGATGAAAACACAGTAAATGCACCTGGGGATGAGAAACTCAAGGCCAAGGTGAGCATGAAAATCGCTACTGGTGTCCAGCAGGGAGTCCTGCCACAGCACCCCATGTCCCCTCGTCTCTGCTGGCTCCCCAGGCTCCTGGATCCTTCATGTCCCTTCCTCTTCACCCCCTTGATAGCCCTCAGTTCCTGGGAAGATGGGAGAGTGTCCCTGCCCCGGGACTCTGTCCCCACCCCATCTGACCACTCTCTTGTCCCACAGCAGGTCAAAGCGGAGCTGACAGACCCCTCTGACAGGGAGGCTCTGGTGGCTGCCCTGAACCTGAACCAGCCCAGCAAAACAGCGTACATCAACACCACCTTCACCACCACGGACTTGTGAGCAGGCATCTGGGGTGCAGCTGGGCCAGAGCAGGACTCAGGCAGCTGTGCTGGTGATGTTGTGTTCAGAGGCTGGCAATAAACCTGTCCCACAGTGGTCACAGTGTCCTGTGCCCATCAGAATGTCTGCTGGGGTGCTCAGCCAGCTCAGGGGTCATCTCTCCTGGCATGAGGAGGGAAGGCGAGTGCCACCATGGGGCTTGGCCCGGCTTCTTGTCCCCAGGACCCTTCCCTGGGCTGCCCCACTGTCCCAGCTCAGCCCCTAGGGAGGGAGGCGCAGGCAGCCCCGCGCAGAGGTTTGTGCAAGGTTTTATTACCCAACATCCACATTGACACAATGGTCCCCCCGCCCCTTCCTCCCCCCAACCCCCCAGAAAAGAAATGAAGAGGAAAAAAGAACAACATGGGTGATGAAGCCACAGCTCGGCAGTGAGGGGCTGGAGGTGGGGAACAGCCCGGGGCAGGGTGGTAGAGGGATGGCGCAGGGCTCCTGGTCGTCCCTGCGTGGCCATAGCACTGCTCCCGCAGCCCAAGGCACTGAGCAGAACCGGGTCCAGTGAGTGCCATGGCACAGAGCAGGCACTGGCTGCTCGCTGATGCTTCAGCGAGTCCCTCACAGCCCCTCCCCGAGCAGAAACAGCCCTGCAGGCCCAAAACAGGCGCAGGATCCCCAAAAGGGATTTGGGGTGTGGGGCAAGACTTGCCCCTTAGAGAGGAGAAGTGGCTGCACTGGTGACCCCGGCACCTCAAGCCCTCGTACACCTCTGCCCGAAGGGGATGGTGCAGCTCCCCAAGTACCCCCTGTTAGCAGCTTCCTGCCCATCAGGTGCTGGTTGCCCTCACTTGGCACTGTGGGGCTGGTCCTCTCCACAGGGTCAGGCCCCACATCATGGCTGGATGCCACGGTGCAGCCGGCTGTGGGGATGCTCACCCCCTGCAATCCCACCCTTTGCTCCCGACGCAGTCCAGAAACGTAGGAAAAGTGTTTGAAAAGAGGGTGACAGCCCCGCAGGACCCCGGGGAGGAGGCGGCTCCAGGCAGGACACACACGGCTCAAAGAGTCTCTTAAAAAGCTCCAAAAATGCAAACACGGTTCAAGAAAAGGCCCCTCCCTCCCACCCTCTAAAACCCCAGCTGTAAAAAGTGGCAGCGCTTTGAGACCATCGCATCCCTGGCTGCTGTTGGATGGGGATGCTGGAGGGACGTCACAGGGTCGTGCACCCACGTCCCAGGCACATGGGGCCTCTCCAGCACTGGAGCAGCTGGATGGGCCCGGCAGCAGGGCAGGCCCCATCCCCACCGCCAGCCTTGGTGAGGATGTGATCTGGGCAGACCCCAGGCAGGGGGAGCTGGGGGCCATGGGGACAGACTCCTCAAGGGCCTCCAGCCACAGTGATAGGGACAAGCAGCTCTCCATTAGTCATGGTTGCTCCCAGACTCTCCCATTTCAGTCTCAGTGCCCCATGTGCCTACATCCTTCCAGCTCCAGAGCACCCACAGCACACAGTGGGGCAGAAGATGGGGCTGTGGCTGGGATGAACAGGGCTGGATGGGCAGCCACAGGGAGCTGCGTGTGAATGGCCATGGGCTGGTCAGAGTGTGGCTGAGCCCTGGGCAGGCAAAGCGGTGGCACAGGAATGCACCAGCATCTCTCCGGCATGGGGAGTGATGCTGCTGCCTGGGATGTGAGTGAGACCAGAGCTCAGGGGAGCCAGCAGCTCCCTGCCCATGCCCATCCTGAGCCCTCTCCAGACCTGTGCCATGGGCAGCTGCCTCTGGCTGGAAGAAGCCATGTGCTTCTTCATGCTGACAGACGCCACCAAGCACAGAGACAGGGCACCAGCGTCATATCCCGGGGTACCTCTATGGGGCTAGGTCTGTGTGGGGACCCCAGGCTGCCAGGGGGACGCCCAGCAAAGGAGATGCCTTGCCCCAGCATGCAGTGCTCCATCACCACCTGCCCCAGGAGCCCTGCACGCTGGCAGCGGGTGTCTCAGGATGCCAGGGCAGGGACTCCCCCTCACCTCCCACAAGAAGCCCCATGGCACCCCCACCCCAGCAGCAGCAACTCACTCCATGGCGGGGCCGGTGCGGGAGCAGCACCGGGGCCGCCGGACGTTCTGCAGCAGAGCCCGAAAGACACCGGGCTGCCTCTTGGGCTCCTCGCCTTTGCGGGGGTCTCCCTTGATGGAGCTGGTGCGGGTGCTCTGCGGGGGTACCACCACCTGCCTCTCCTCGATCTGCTTCTCCAGGTGCTTCTGGATGGCCATGCCCAGCACCTCCACCTCCATGGAGGCCCCGTACACCTCCCATGTCATCCCTTTCTCGTCCCAGCTCACCTCCCGGATGGGCTCCGGAGTCTCCTCCACCAGCGTCCCCTTCACATGCACCTCGGGGTACGAGGCCTGCGGGGACTTGGCCACTGGTGTCATGGGGCCAGTGGCCACGGAGCGGGTCTCCACAGGCATGGACACCTGCATCTCTGCATCCTTCTTGGAGGGCTCCAGGCGTGGGGCGGCAGCAGAGCCCAGCTCCCTCTTGGGGAAGGTGAAAGCAGCAGCCCCGCCTGGGGGGCTCATAGGACTCAAGGCCACTGACACCAGGGACGCTCGGTTGTCCACTTGTGTACCCATGTCCTGCGTCCCGGCGTCCTGCGGTGGGGTCACTTCAAAGGAGTAGGACTGGCAGAGCAGCTTGCTTTGCTGGGGCTGCTGGCTGCTCCCAGCGTTCGCACGCCGGGCTGGGCTCTCCTCGGCTCTGCCCTGGCCTGGGGTAGTGGGGTTTGACCTTGACTCGCTTTTGCCCTTGCTCCCCGAAGTGCTGGTGCCAGGGGGGTCTGCTGTGCCCCCCTGCGGGTTCTTGGGAGCTTCACCACCCCTTGGCTGGGGTGCAGCGCCCAGGGATGTCCCTGTGACACCCTGGGGCTGCCCCTGGCTTGGAAGCTCCGCTGCTGCTCCAGCAGCCATGGTAGGCTCCGCAAATGCCACGTGTTTGGCAGGAGCCGACGCACTCCCCACATCCTTGCTGGGTGCTTTGAGGCAGGGCTCGGGCAGGGGGGACACGGAGGCTGTGTTCTTCTGGGTGCTGGGAACCTCCATCCCCGCAGGGCCACAGGCTGGGGCAGTGCCACTTGGTCCCCCACAGCTCCCCGTCGTTGCTGCTGCGTTTGGCTCTGTGCCGGCGTCCCGGAGAAGCGTGCTGGGAGCTGGTCCTGTCGGCGATGGCACCTTCTCCACCACCGTGCTGGCCATGGTGCCCTGGGCCTCCGGTGCAGCCACACAGCAGGTCCTCACAGCACGGCCCCCCGCAGCACAGCCGGAGCCGGGCAGGCACTCACCCACTGGAGGGCAGCCAGGGGAGCTGGCACCGGGCTCACAGGCGTCCTCGGCACCGGCCTGGCAGCTCAGCAGCCGCAGCCCCTCGGGCTCCTTAGAGCTGCCCATGCCTGGAAAAGGCTTCTCCCATGCTAGTCCTGCTGTGGGTCTGCAAGAGAGAGGATGGGGCAGTGAAGAGGGAGCAGCACATGGGCCCCCAGCTCCCCTCGGCTGCCAACTGTTTTTCTGCATGCCATCCATGACAACAGGTTGGGCAGCTGCCTGCAGCTTCTACCAGCACAGCCTGTGTGGTGGCACCCAGTGCCCAGCCCCACGGGAAGGGAGGAACTGTGTTGGCTGCCTACCGTAAAAGCCAACCTTCTCCTGGCACAGCCAGATTGGGACCGGGAGCAGGATCCAGGCGCTGTTGCGCCTGCCAGAGCAGGGGGATGTGGCACAGGCACAGCAGAGGGGCAGCTGGAGAGTGGCCCTGGGCACCAGGCTGAGAGCCTGAGGGGGCTCAGCACCCCCCACCTGCAAGTGGGGAGTTGAGCACAGCATGGGGTGACAGCAAGCTGGGCACAGGGACTGAGGGGGGCTGCAGAGCACAGCCCAGGCATGGGGCAACCCAAGCCTTTCCCTCCATTCACTGGGACCAGTGTTCCCAGAGCTAGGAGTGATGTGTATCCCCCAGGCACAGGAACCCCCAGCTCAGCACCGACACCCCAAGCTGAGGGTGCAACCATCTCCAGGCCATGCCCCTTCAGCCCCCCAGGACAGCCGTGTAGCAGGAGCATGGTGGGAAGCCCCAGAGAAGCCCCCAGCTCTGCCAATGCCAGTGACTCCCTCCGGAGCTGGGAGCGCACGAGTCCTGGTCACGGTCACTCTGGGTCCCGAGAGGGCAGAGCAGAGCAAATCCCCCCAAGGGACATTGCAGGAGCAGCGACCAGGCTGGCACCAACCCTCCCCAGGAGCACCGGGGCCCGGAGGCGGTGACCCCCCGACTCTGTCTCCCCACGCAGCACCCTCCGTACCCGGGGGTCATGCCACCGCGCACCCCGACCTGCTCTGACAGCACCCTCCATCCCGGCGGGCTACGGGTGCCCCGACCCGGTGCCGCTGCTCCACGGAGAGGCTGCGAGGCCCCGCACACGCGTGTGCACACGCACAAACACGCACAAACACGCGTGTGCACACGCACAGGCACGCACACGCCAGCACATGGCCACGGGCACACCCGCACGCACGGACACGCGTGTGCACGCCCCGGTTCCCCTGGCGAGCCCCGGTCAAACCGGCTCCAGCGGCAGCACCGGACAGGGGGAATCCGACACACACACACCCCCACTCCCCCGGCCCCGCCGCCCGTCCCTGGGGAAGCCGGTGCCGGCCGGGCGGCGGCGGTAGCACCGGGAACGGGAGCGAGACCGGCCCCGCCACGTGCGCCCCGAGGCCGTCGTTACCTGCGGCGGCGGCTCGGCTCGGCTCGGCTCGGCTCGGCTCGGCTCGTCCCGTCCCGTCCCGTCCCGTCTAGCTCGGCTCGGCTCGGCTCCGGCGCGGTGGCGGCAGCGGCGAGCATGCGTGGGGCGGCGGCGGCGGGGGCGGTACCGCGCCCCGGGCCGCTCCCCCCGGCTGCCGCCCGCCCCGGAGCCCCCGGGCAACGGTGGGGAGGAGAGGGAGGACCGGCTGCCGCGGAGGGGGGGGCCCAGTACACACCCCCCTCCCCTCGCTGCCATGGGTGTCACCCCCCTTGCCCGCCCGGGGAGACCCCATCACCCCCTGGTATTCCCCAGCATCACCGACCCTGTCACCCCGGTGTACCCGGGCACAGCAGAGTACATGTCCGGCACAGGCACGGTCAGGGGGTCCTCAACCCTTAGGGGGTCCTGCGGGTGGGGGTGACAGTGAGTGACACCGAGTCCAGTCCCCCTCCTACCTGGTGATGGAGACGGATGCTTCCCTCCCAGGCATCACCGGGGAGGGGGGGGTGGGAGGGGGTGCTGTACCCCAACCATCCAGAGGGACCGGGACAACGTGTCACCGTGGTGTGACAGAGGTGGGCTCCAGCGCACCCCTCGCTCAGGGGTGGGAGAGGACGGGGAGGGGAGATCGTCCCCGTCTCCCTCCCGGCAGCGCCTGCCTCTGCTCCCAGGCTCAGGCTTTGTCTAACTCCTTCCCACGCACTCCCGCTGCTGGGGGAAGGCGGCCTGCTCGCTTCGCCTCATCCCTGCATCCCCCCAAGCCCCCCCAGCATCTTCCCAACCCCACTTGCATCCCTCCAAAAGCCCCCAGTATCCCCCCAAAACTCCCTAGCTGCCCACCGGTCACCCAACCCCTCTATATATGCCCACATCACCTTATAGGATTCCCTCCCTGACCTGGGGATGTCAACAATGGAGTAAGAGCTATAGATTTATAGGGTCAGGGGGTGTGTGTGCTAATGCTAACCCCAAGACAGGGATCTCTCACCTTGGTGTTACCGTTAGCATCCCCCTACCCTATATCTACCTATAGATATAGATCTATAGGGTGAGGCTGGGTGATGGGAGCTGGCACACCTGGTTGCTTGGAGACAAGGGAGGTTGGAAATGCTCCTTCCAGTAAACAGCCAGGATGGAACAAAAGCCGAAGGCTAAAAATAGGGAGGCAGGATATGGAAATAAAAAGCTTTGCCTCTCCCCTCAACCCTGGGGCAGAGTGGGGCACCCCCATGTCACCACCAGGCGCCCCATGGGTGTCTGGTGTGAGGCTGTTCCCCTGCACACATCAGCGTGTTCCCCCCTCATGGTTTTTGTGGACCCATGGTCCCAGTCCTGCAGCAATGACTGGTCCCAGTTGCCCACCTGCAGGGTTGGGGCAGCACAGGGTGGGGGACAGGTATGGCTTCACATCCCGTGCTGTCCGGTGTGGGCTCAGACCCAGCCCTGGGCACACACCCTGGGGGGACAAAGGACACTGCGGGCAGAATCAAGTCCTGGCAGAGGAGGAGACCAGAATGTCTCCATCCCCTGGCTGGGACCTTGCCTCAGGGCAGGGGGGCTTGGGACCGCATCCTGCTGACATTCCCTTCCACTGCCACTCTCCGCTCTGCTGGCAGCCGCTCTCCCCATCCCCATCGGCATTCCGGAGCGCACCATGTCCCAGTGGCCAGCGCGGGTCATGGGGGGCACCCCCCCGTCCCCTCCGGCAGCCTTCATCCCAGGCCGGATGCCTCCTCCTCCTCCTCTTCCCACCCGGGCACCTCGAGGCTGGCAGGAGAACAATAGCGAGGAGGATGAGTAAGATGGTCCCCATTGCCTTGGCAACGCACTCGCGAGGAGCCAGGCGCTGCCTGACAAGCGCGCTCTGCCTCGGCGCAGCGGGCGCAGGTAGCACGGCAGCCCCCTCCCTCGCCGCCGCGGCCCACCTCCCACGCCGCACGGGCAGCGCCACGTGAACGCGCCCGGCTCCCCCACCGCCGCCGGCACCCGCACACGCCGGAGCAGGCAGCGGCATGCACCCAGCAGCCAGCTCGGGCCAGGCGCGGCCCAGCACCGCCCCGGCTCACCGGTGCCTGGCTGTGACCGGCTTGTGGCCGGGCGATGTGCTCCTCTGCTGCGGAGCTGATGGGCTTCCTGTGGCTGCCCGTGGTATCTGCGGGCAGGGAGGCCGGGCTCCGGGTGCTGGCAAATGGGAACTGAGGGGATGCCTGCGGGCACCGGGCTCCCATCACCGACTGACCGCAGCCCCTGGCTCCCCTCCCCAGGATGGGTCGTGCTGAAAGAGGACCTTTGGTGTGCCCACAGCTGAGAGTGCTCTGGGGTGACAGGGATGTTTGAGAGGTCCAGAAGCAACACGAAAACTGCGCTGCCTTCACAGCACCTTGTCACAGAGGTGCTGGGGGAGGAGCTGATCCCTGCCAGCACCTGCTGTCCTGGGTGCCCCAAAGCACAGCCTGTGGCTGGCGTCAACCTAACCCAGCCCTGTGGGGTGGGAGGGCACTGCGGCTGGGACACCACAGTCGGGTGTCTGAGCACATCGCCCTGCATGCTCCTGGGTGCAGGTAGAGCCGCAGGTGCAGGCAGGGACATGGCCCCAGGGGTCCATGCTGAGTGCACAAGAAGGGATGGGGGCACAGGGTGAACACCCCCTGAAACCCCACATCCCCATGGCCCCACATGCCCATAACCCCACGGTCCCATGGTCCCACCCTGCCCGTTCCGTTCTCCACAGCGCCCCCTCACGGCCATCCGGGCAGGGATCAGCCAATCAGAGCTGTTTGCTGCAGAGCATGCGCTCAGCGCCATGCTGTGGGGTCGTGGGGGTGCCGGGGGGCACCATGGCAGGGCGGGCACGGTGCTGGGGCATGGTGGGGTGGGCAGGGGGCGGCCCTGGCACCCCGGGGCTGCTGACCACAGTGGAGACCTTGTTCAGGTCTCCCTGGCAGGGTGCCCTGGGTGCACGGGGTGCTGGAGACCATCCGGTGCGGCAGCTTGCAGCTTCCGGCTGGAGGTGTCCTTCCCCCTGCACAGGGACTGCAGCACTGGGAGATGGTGCAGCACAGCCAGCACTGCGTGCCCTGCGAAGGGGGTGAGGCGGGGAGCATGGACTGAGCCCTTCCATCCCCACCCAGCCCTGTGCGTGGGGCGCTGCCGGGAGCGGGGTCGCTGCGCTAACACGGTGGTGGCTGGGATGTGCGCAGTGGTGCACAGGAGGATGCCATCCTCGGGTGCACCCTGCAGAAGGATGAGGGGTGCATGGGGAAGGTGGTTTTGTCAGCCCAGTGCTACACCAGGGCACAACAGCAGCATGGTGCTGACCCCTGTATGCGTTTGACATCCTAAACACCATAAACTTGCTGCCCCTTACACATCTCAGGGCCTGCTCTGAGCCTGAGAGCTCTCAGCCCCACATCCTCTCACCCTCAGCCTGAAACATTTGCCATGCTGTTTGAGATGCTCACCACAGCAAGAGTCTGTGTCTATGGGATGAATGGCTGGCAGGGTCCAGCTTTCCATTCCTTGGTGGTCTGGAGGAATGGGTCTAGCTGAATGATTGCTGATCACCTATTGCGACTAGATGCTGCTGTTTCAGAAGAGTCAAAACCTTTCCTACAGTGCCTCTGTGCCATTTGTGGTGAAAAGGCAGGGACTCTTCACTTCTCTCTCCTCCCCCAGGGGTTCGTTTCTGCAGCTCAATAGGTGTGGATGAAGTAAAAGCCCTGGCTGCATTAATGACATACAAATGTGCCGTAGTGGGTAAATACAAAGGGAACATGAAGCACATGAGGACCTGGGCATGGGATGGGGCTGTGGTACAGTGAGTCAGAAAAGCTCGTTAGACGCTTTGAAAATCAGAAGTGCTCTAGAAGTGCAGGATGTTCCTCTGGGCACGGATGTGCGAGGGCACGGCTTGCTGCGGCTGCAGAATATGCCACTGGCAGTCCAGGATGTTCGTGTTAATCAGGGAGCATCAAGCACTGTGCTTTTCAGAAGCAGCCTCTGTGCCTGGGTTGTCATGGATTCAGCTCTGGCTGGTGGTTGTGGCAGGCTCAGGGTCTGTATCCCATCCTGCCTTCAGCTCTGCTCCACAGAGGCCATGTGTGTGTGGTGTTGAGGGGGGAGCTGTGTGTGTCGTGGGGAAGCAGCGTCCCCCTGCCTGGGTTCACCAGCAGGGTCCTGATTGCCACAGTCACCTCCTCTCCTAGGTAGCTGGCAGAGGACATCTGTTTGCCTCACCTGGTCTTTTCCAGATGTCCCTTTTGGCGGTGCCATGATGGTGTGAGGATCGATCCAAGGAAATACTTGGTGAGCTCACTCCTTCCCCCGCTGACAGCCTGTTACTCACAGTCCAATTCCACAGCCCTCCCTCTCCGTGCCTATCACAGCGATGCTCTCGCGCAAGCCGGGGGAGATGTTTGTAGTAACACTCACCCAGTGACTGTGAAAAGCAGCTTGGGGTGGGGAGGGGGGCGGTGAACTCTGGTTTATGGGTCAGTGCATCTGGGCAGAGACGTGCTGAAGGAGTAGGGGCACTCCTGCTGCTGCCCACTTTCCACTGGGGGAAGATGCAAAACAAGAGGGGTTGAAAGGGCACCGAGCAAAGGGACCGGGAGTTCACATAGCTCTTTTGAGCCCAGGCTCCCCTCATGCTGTGAATTACTTCCCTGGGGGACATCAGGGTGAGCACTGTACAGGCAGGGCAGAGCGGAATGCAGCTCTGTGATTTTCCTTGGGGCCTGTAGTAACAACGGTGTTTTGTTGTTCTGCTATTCTCACGCAGGAACATGAGCTGGAGATAATAACAACACATTTCACTGTAGAAATGGCCAAGAAGGGATTTATAGGTGAGTGTTTTGTCCCGGTTCTGCAAGCAGAGGGTGGTGTGCAGGCAGGGGAGCGGGCAGCGGCTGCCTGGCTGCTCAGGCACAGGGGCTGTTGGCAGCACTCGCTGCCCTGGTGCTCTGCTGTCTGTGCACTGCTTTCCTCTGCCTGCGCTGTGGAGTTGGAGCAGAGGGAGCCTCCTGCAGCACCAAGCACAACAGAGCTGGCCCAGGCTGCCTCCCAGCTGCTGCTGGGCAGGGTCTCACCAGGTACTGTCCTCCATTCCCACTGGCC